ATACACACACACCTCTGTACCTGACTCAGTCATGTCTGCAATAAAACACTCCAAAACGCACTAGAAAAACAGCAGCACACACACAGCAGTACATTACGTGCTTAGATGTGTTGCATCCTTTCCACTTAAACTCCTGTCTCCATTCACTCCTACATGTTTGCTTCATTTAATTTTCTTACAAGTTTGTCTTCTGTGTCTCTGGTTACTGAGTAAGGATGGCGTTAGTAGTTTGAGTGGGCTTAAGGCCAAAACACACCGGCAGCGTCATATGATGGCGGCGTCATTGACGCGAGTCAAGTGCTGCTCCCAACACACACAAAAAGCGTTGCGCTGCGGGGCGTCAACCGGATTTCTATTGCACACTCCAGACCGCTAGGCTGGTAAGGACAAAATAGCGCTTTTTCAAGGGCGGTGACGCTGGAAAAATAGGACAATAGCGTGGGCTGCTTTCACACCTGTAGGGTGGTTCATTTGGTCCGCAGCAGAGGGAAAAAATTATTCATTGTTGCATTTAAGTTTTGGTTTGGTTCCCGTTCATACTGACTTTTTGCAAACAAACCAAGAGGACTAACCATGAAATTCTACTGACTGACAGGTAACTTACTGATTGGACAGTTTTCCTTTTCCAGCTGTCTCAGGTGAGTTGTTTGGTCCACATCAGGGTTTGACAGACAGCTTTCACACCAGCTCAAACGAACCGTACTAACGGTGTAAACGGACCTGAGATCGTTATAACTGAACCAAACACGTTAGGTGTCAAGTAACCTTAGTATACCCATATTTAAGTAGTCCCAATATATCAGTGGGTAAGAAGCAATGAGTAGGCCTACTGATTAATTGTTTTCACACAATCTTGAACTAAAAGGCATGAATGAATCGTAATGTTTGTGGAACTGTAACATTGCACTATGGGGATTTTTAAAATTTATCTAACCTTTTTATTGTCGCCAGGTGTCAGCTTCGAGGGGATCATGCATTTGGTTGTGTGTGTGCTTGTGTATGTGTGCATGTAAGTGTGTCTATCTGTCTGTCTGTCTGCAGCTTATCTGGCAAACTACTAGGGCTGCCCCCTGAAAGTTAGAGAGTCGAATTGTTAGTCAGAGACCCCTCAGTCAACGGAGATTGCTTTAAGTTGAGTGGTCGCTTTTTTTTTTTTTTTTTAAGTAGTGTGCTGTTCAGTGTACTTCTGGGAACATTTTGGTCCCCAGGTTCTGCTGCAGAGTGAGTGCTTGACTTTCACAATATTCTTTGGTACAGTGGCACAGAGGGGGAGAGATTTCCCCCAAGTACTCCGAAATAACATCATCTTCTCTCTTCTGCTTATTTGCGTATAATTTTTGGCTCACAGCAACTAAATACAACACCGTCTCTGCTTTTTGTTTGATATCTAGTGTCGGCAAAAAATGTTGCATATTTTTGATCCACTGTTAGCCCCATAGGCTTGTTTACTATCTTACATGAATGCGGCTGTCACACTGAAAGACCTGCTGAACCCTTTCAAACTTTTAAACTTAATATATTCATATTAAATGGCCAAAGCTGATTTGACCAACATAAAGCCTCATTTACACCGCAAGCTATACGTTTGCGTAGCGCTCGCGAAGCGGTCCACAAGCGTAGCGGCAGCACACATGTATTCACACCAAAACCGAACATACGCGTCGTGCAGCAGCCGCTGTTGTCCGGTCAACATACAAACCACAACCGAACAGCTGGTGGCGGTAGCACACCATGTTTACAAATTTCCAATAAACCCCAGTGAAGAAGAAGTGAGTTTGGACCCAAAGCCCAGGGTGGACAAGTTCGTGTGCCAGTGATTATTCCCAACGTTTGGAGAATTAATATTTAGCACTACAAATGGGTAAGTACATGAAACATGCGCCTGTCAGGTCACATGCAAACTGGTGTTTTTTGTTGAATACTGCGACCATCCCCTCGCGACTTGTGCAAAAAAAAAGAAGAAAAAAAAAAATAAAAAATCGGCGTCTCTTCTATTTTCGAGCTTGCTTGCGAAAGCAGCGGACTTGAGCAGAGCACAGAATGGATGTGGTGTGAATGCTCTAACCTGTTTACATGCTTGCCGAAATGAAAACGCGAGTAAACAGCGACCGTTCATGAGCGCCAGGCCTGGAATTTCGATAAATAAACCCAATGTGTTTTAAATATAGAACAACCAGATTCATGTATTTATAAGCAAACAATCTTAAATATTAGGCCTAAATATTTTTTGAGTGTACATGATAAACTGATTCACTGAACAAGACTGGCTTACAATTATTTTTGATGTGTTGTTAGATAGCTAACAAACAAACAAACAAACTACAGCAGGGTTATTCAATTAGGCTACTATTTCAACTGGGCCACATTTCAAAACCAGATCATGTCGATGTGCCACATTTTTAGCAGCGAGCAACTGATCCACTTTTTTTTGCATACATACATACATACATACACACACACACACACACACACACACACACACACAGGCATGGCCCTCCTTAACATGATGCAGAAACAGACTAAAAGAGAGCTATCAATGCACAGAAGCATAATAAGTGTCATTAACAGTATCTAATAACACACACTATCTCTCTACCTGCATCTCCTTCTCTCCTCTCCTCCACACACACACATGCACACACCTCACCTCCTGATGCTTTCCTTATAGGTCAGTTACACAGGATATAGTTTTATACAGTCCATGGCAGCAACAGTCATGTTTACAACAACAAAGTCACTATTCAAAACCCAATAATATCTGACTGGAATATAAATATTCCTCCTGACATCACAATACTGAGTGACGAAAGTCACGTTATCTCAGCATGAAGACAAACATCAGTATCAGTCATTCATCCTGCTCTCTGTCCCTCCTCTACTGATAACACTCACTGTCTGCAGGTCGGCTGCCTCAGGTACATCTTCAGATAAAGTGTTAGCCTACATACAGACAGCTTTCATTTTAGTTTGTCTTTAACCCTTTGCTGTTAGCACCGCGAGCGCAATGTGCTTGTGTCGACCGCGATCATAAACCATAATAGCGATGAATGAGAGACTGTGGACAGAGCAGATTGAAATATTCTACATGCTGATCACATGTATTGATAAAGTATTGGCTTGGCTGGCAGAGGTTTTATCGCACATACTCACAGTAACTAGTGTAGCGTAGTTAACTAGAGTAATCTTGAAGTTATACTCCCTTCATCTGCACCGCGGCCTCTCTGCTGTTGAGTTTTTGTGTCTGTGTGTGTGCGCGCGCTGTGAGGGGTGACATGCAGAGAGCAGGAGAGAGGCTGCAGAATGATGATACATGAAACCGAAACTTTAAAAAGTAACGCCGATACTGGTGGAGCTTACTGTTATTACGGTGTTGATTAAACTTGCCTTGGGTTGTTTAATACCGGGTCTCGGTACTGATCCCTGCCCGGGCGTTTGATGAAGTCTCCTGGTTGGCCAGTGATAGATTGGTGTCAAACTGTCGTTACAGCCCGCCTGAGCGGTTCATGCCAGGCTGGAATCAAACACCCCACTGGTGATGTACGCATTATCTCATTTGATGTTGCCCAATGACTCCAGAATGTCATTGCATTATTTTTTTCTCAATAGGTGTCAAAGCCGTGTTGACAGGAAAGAGGCAGAGGAGAAAACCGCAAAATCACCTGGGGCAGTGCAGGCGGGGCATCAAAGCCACTGTGGCCTTAGGGCAGATATTTTTTTCAAGGGCACAGGGCCAAATTGGCAGGGCACGAGAGCCATGGCCCTCTTGGCCCTCGTGAAATTCCTGCCCTGGTGAGTGCTACGCAAACACACCGTTTGCGGTGTAAAT